CCTGCCAAGAAAACACACAAAACTCCAAAACTCCCATTATTCAAAAATAAAACTAAGAAAAAAAAACATAAAAGAAAATATCTACAAAAGCAGTAAATCGCTTGGGTTGCCTCCCAAGAAGCGCTTGTTTAACGTCATTAGCTTGACGAAACCTGAAGAGAACTCATCCGGGGTCCAGAAAGAAGTGACGATCGTGCCACGCCTTTGTATTCTCGAGAAGTGGCAGCATTGGCACTAAGGCCAGAAGGCGGGCACAGTGGATCTGAGTGGCAATGTTCTGGGCAAAGCGGGTTCGGGCACGATAAATATCCAACTCAAAACGTAGAGCTTTTCCCACTCGAGTTCTGTCGTCAACCTCCGAAAATATAAGCTCATCAGTAGAGCAAGTCGAACTGAATCCTCCCAACTTTGTAACACGGTGTAAGGGCCTCGGAGACGGGTGCTCTAACTCGGAAGTGGGAGGTGGGACTTGAGAATCAAGCCCATGGATCTCCTCCTCTGAAATATCACCAATGACTCGCTTGAGCTCATCCTCTTCTTCTTCGACCTCACACATTTGCTTCATCGTGTGGGCTTGAGTATCAAGCATAGGTTGAGGGACGTCGACTTCTGCCTCGATTGAGATGGTATGTGCTGTAAGAATCTCCATTTGTGTGCTCAGTCGAGCACACCCGAGCTCAATGTCCATATCTCGAGTGGTCAGGGCAGATATGCGAGCAAGGATGAGGTCGAGCTTTTCATCGAACGACAAAGTAGTCTCCCGAGGCTCGTCCTTATGTGTAGGTTCTCCTTGAGCGGTGGGCTCGGGAGTGACATTGGTAACTCCATCCTCTAAGGCTTGCACGCGCTCCACAAGTTCCTCGATTCTGGACTCAAGGTTGCTCTTGCGGGCCACTTGGGATGCCAAAAGAGTGAGGACCTGGTCGAGCTTTGCATTATACTCTGAGGAATCCTCGAGGGACTCACATGTCTGCTCGACAGGCCCGTAATCCTATTGCTGCTCGTAGGGATATGACCAAGTCTGGCCATAGTCCCAGGAATCGTAGAATGGAGGTGGCTGGTTCAATTGGGCACACCGGGTTGCGGTCTCTTCTTCCTGAGCTAACCGGGATGACGCGAATTCATAGATACGGTCGAGCTTCTCATTGAACTCGTGGGACTCATAATATTGCTCGACCGGGGAAGGGTCCCAGTACTGCTCGGAAGGGTATGAAAATGGCTGGTAGTGATGCCCGGTGGAGTATCTCGGCTCGATACCCCAAGATTGGGTGTGCGAATAGGGGAACACACTGTTATAGCTCATAATACCTGCACAACGGAACAGAAAAACCACGCGTAGCCACGAAAAGACAAGAAAAAGAAAACAAAAACAAGCAAGACAAAAGGAAAAACAAATATGCACAAAAGAGAGAACAAAAATACGAAAATCACGAAAATAAGA